TTCTACCACTGCCCCCAAAGGCTAGTCTTACCGTGGTTAGTTTATATGAAAGTGGGCAGGGCAGGAATGCAAGAGTGTAGGTTTCATGTATGTTTCTCCGCAGCCACTCAAGTCTCAGGGCGAAGCTACTTTCATTGGCTGGAAAGGGACTCGCGATGGAAGTGTGACTTTAATTGATTTTTCAGGGCTAACAGGTGGTGATAGCTCAGACTTGCCTCGGCCTCGTTGCCACTCCTGATTTGGGGCGCCGCGTAGGATAGCTTTATTAAAATAAACCGTTTCCTGGCTTCGCGGTTACCTGAACATCTGCCTCCTGGCTTTTCAAGGGCCTTTGCCAATATTTCCCCTCCGTGCCTACATGGATCGGATCCTAGAAAAAAAAGTGGAGGGAGCCTCTCTTCTCTACATGTCATCAGACTCTTCATTTGGGGGGTTTACAGTTAGACAGAAACATGGTTGTTTCGGGAATTTCTTTCTGGTGGTGGTGGTTTTCATGTGTATTTCGGTTGCACATTTATTTTCATGGTGCAACAGATTTTTTATTTTTGAACAGAACAGGCCAAAACTTGAACGGGTAGTTGCTGGGTTTGCATTTGAACTTTTATTCTGGTGATTCATTGATGGTTGATGTGAGGGAGTGTGTGTGTGAGTGTGTGTGTGTGTGCGTGTGTGTGTGTGTGTGTGTGTGTGTATTTTTTCTTTTATTGAGTTCAGAGAGGAAGGGAGAGAGAGAAACATCAATGATGAGAGAGAATCATTGATTGATTGGCTGCCTCCTGCACACCTCCTGCTGGGGACCGAGCCTGCAACCTGGGCATGTGTCCTTGACTGGAATCGAACCTAGGACCCTTCATCTGCAGGCCGACGCTCTATCCACTGAGCCAAACCAGCTAGGGCCAGAGAACACTTTTCTAGAACGTTCTGTCCACTTAGCAGACAATTAGAGCCCCATCGGACTTCTACCTTGGAGGGTGCCTCCGGTGCCAACGATTCTGTTTCGGAAATGAGTGAGACACTTACTGGTACAGTTAATGGAATTTTTTTTTTGTCTTGACCTCTTCAGGATACCCAGCTTTATGGGAAATAAATGTATGAGGATTCTTTTCTCCCTTCCTTTAATCAGAGCAGAGAATTTGCTGATGGCTCTGGAAGATGTATTTACCCAAATCGGACTTTCAACTGCTCAATTACCAGCTTCTGCAAAAAACAAACAAACAAAAAAACACGTAATGAGAAATTCATTGTCTGATCCTTGACCAGAAATTATGATCATTTTAGGAGGGAAAGAGCCAATAGTTGCAACATATTAGATGCCTTCTTTCTTCATTTCGTTTAGAGCTGTTCTACTTTTTCAACTAGCAGTTCTGCCTTCATGAGGGGTGTGGGTTTTTATTGGACCATAGATGAGCGGTTGACTTTCTCCATTTACATAAAGTCATCAAGAAATGTAGAGGGTGGCCAGTTAGCACGATGCAAACCATGGGGATTTAAAAAATATGTTTGTATTGTTTGGGTTTTTATTAGAGAGAGGAAGGTAGAGAGCGAGAGAGAGAGAAACATTGATGAGAGAGAATCATTGATTGATTGGCTGCCTCCTGCACTCCCCTACTGGGGATCGAGCCCACAACTGGTGCATGTGACCTTACTGGAAATAGAACCGGTGACCTCATGGTGCATGGGAAGATACCCAACCCACTGCACCACACTGGCCGGGCAAACCATGGGATTTTAATAAACGTTTCAGATTCAAGCGAGAGTACAGATTATGTACTTAGGAAAGAAGCTTGTGTATAAATACAGATGAGAAGCGTTTTTTTTTTCTGTTGTTTTTTCTTGAATCCTATTGTACATGCAAAAGGAGAAAGTAAAACCAGCAGAAACTCCATCCTTAAAGAATGCGGCCTGAAAGTCTCTAATTTGTTCTAAGTTGATAAGTTACATGAGTGACTTTTTCCCAGCACTGGCGAGCTGGCAGCTGATAACCACAAGTTACCGTATTTCATCTTGTGGGACCACCTGTGAGTTTGAAAGGAAAGTGGGGCGTTAAGTCTGGAAATAATGTGCCTGAGATGTCACTCCTGCCTCGTGAAATAATTGCCATGTGTTCCTTTCCTCTTTGTCCTACTAATCCGTGTGTTACTTGGAGGCAGGGCCGTGTCTTCGTGGCATTCTTGTTTCCGGTGACCATTGTGGCATAGGCACTTGGGTTCAAACCCAAGGTCTCCCTTGTCCTTTCTGTGGGAGGGTCCCAAGTCAGAGGCGGATAGAAATTGGGCAGGTGAAGTGCGTAACTTGTCTGATGTAGGCATTCCTGGCCCATTATTTTGTTGGGGCCATCCAGCCTTAAAATTGGAAGACTTTAAGATTTTTGAAGCAGAATGCACATATCTAGGCTCTTACAATAATAACTAATATTTATTGAGCATTACCTTGTGCTAGACACTGAGTACTTGATATGCTGTAAGTCATTAATTCTCAGACCAACCCCATGGGGTAAATGCTATATAAACCCCACTTTACAAGTGGGAAAACAAGAGGGACAAAGAAGTTAAGTAGCATGCCCAAGGTCACCCAGCTAGTAAACGGCTGAGTCAGACTTAAACCCAGAATCTTTGCTCCTAACCACTGGGCCACGTAGCAGTTTTCTGTTGTGGGTTTTGTGTGCATGTGTGTTACAGAATAGTGCTGACGTCAGCTAACAAGAGGATAATGATTAATATTCATATAGTGGTTTGTGTTTTACACAGTGCTTTTTGACATTCACCATCTCCTCACAGCAATCTTTATTTTTTCTTGTTAATCCTCACCCAAAGATATTTTTCCATTGATTTTTGGAGAGTGGCAGGGAGGAGGAGGAGGAGAGAAAGAGAGAGAGAAACATCAATGTGAGAGAGAGACACAGATTAGTTGCCTCCTGCACCTGCCCCAACCAGGGCCGGGGATCGAGCCTGCAACCAAGGTACATGCCCTTGACCGGAATCGAACCTGGGACCCTTCAGTCCGCAGGCCAGTGCTCTCTCCACTGAGCCACACCAGCGAGGGTGACGATTTTAAGATTCTTCAAGAGACTTTGAAAATCTGGAATGTTTTACCTGAAATACTTGGATTTTAAAATATTGGAAGCCAATTAAAAAAGTAATCCCCTCTCCAGTTAAAATAAGCCTTATGGTTGGCAAAAGTTGGCGTGTGGCCGGCCTCTCGGGGACCGTAGGTATTTGCATGCGACTGTCCCTCCATTCTGGTACAATACATCTCGGAGCAGACAGCTGAGTCGGTCGGATAGGGGATGGGGTTTCCAGGTACGGGGCCGTATCGGTCTGCTCCAGAGTGTACCTGGCCAATCGTTTCTTCTTCATTCTACCAGTCCTGCAACTACATTAATCAGTGTGCGTGTGTGTGTGTGTGTGTGTGTGTGTGTGTGTGTGTGTGTACACCTGTTTGTAGCCGTTTCTAAAAGCTGCTGTAGTGAGAGTCCTGGATTTAATTCCCTCAAGTCACGGAAGATGGTTCCCATTCCGTGTCCTCAAGCCGTGATTTGGTCTTGTCTTCCCATCAGGTGTTCCTGGTCACGGTGTGGAATTTTGAGCTGTACATGATCCCCCTGGCCTTGCTGCTGCTCTTTGCCTATAATTTCATCGAACCCACAAAGGGGAAGGCGAGCAGCACCCACGACTCCCAGGTAAGCCAAGATGCCAATAACTCTGATGTCTGACTCGAGACCAAGGTGTTAACAATGATAAGCCAGCACCGCCAGCACCACCACTAAATCATGGCCCAAGTCCATTTGGTTTGATCTGGAAGGATCCACCTTGCACATATGTCCATGTTATAGTAGAGATCTTTTTTATAGAAAAATATATATATATATTAATTTTTTAATTGATTTTCGAGAGGAAGGGAGAGGGGGAAACATCAATGATGAGAGAGAACCATTGATCGGCTGCCTCCTGCACGCCCCACACTGGGAATCGATCCCACAACCCTGGCATGTCCCTTGACTGGGAATGAATCGTGACCTCCTAGTTCATAGGTCAATGCTCAACCACTGAGCCACCCTGGCTGGGCTAGAAATAATATGTTTTTACTGATTTGAGAGAGAGAGGTAGGAAGAGGGAAAGAAAGAGAGAGAAACATCGATGACAGAGAAACATTGATCAGCTGCCCCCTGCAAGCCCCATACCTGGGGATCAAGCCTGCAACCCGGGCATGTGCCCTGGACTTGGAATCGAACCGGCGACCTCTTGGTGCATGAGACAAGGCTCAACCCACTGAGCCACACTGGCCAGGGCTGTAGTAGAGATCTTCTATCAGGTGTCATCTGGGGTCTTCTCTGTGTTTCTGAGTCTTGGGCTATTTCCTCAGAGTTCGGAGAGCCCTGTGGTGCTGGTCATCTGTCCTGTGCCAACAGCACGTGTCCGTGGGCACCTCTGTGCTCCGTGAGGTTAAGGTGAAGAACATTGTCAGCCACGAGAGAAAAGTCCCTCCAGGGGACTCAGAGCATCTGGAGGCTGCCTCGGCCCCTCCACCCAGGCTCCCCATTCAGTGCTCACCTCCAGCCTGAAGGCTCAGGGGGTTCTCGGAGGCTTGCCGACTCCCAGGGAAGCCCCCGCCCGTGTGGGCATGTGTCCCTCTGCTCCTGTGCCCACGTTCCTGCTGTGATTCTCAGACTTGCCAGCAAGGCTTCCCCTCAGAGACACCGGCCTCCACTCCCTGTCCTTCTTCCCCAGCTCTTCCCCCCTCGTTCTCTCCTCGCACACCAGGGGATCTCTCCTCCCCCCGTCCACTCCCCACCGTGAGCAGGAACCTGTATGTATTGGCTTCTTTTATGGTATAATCCTGGCATTCCAGGTTCAAAAACCCAGCAGTTTTTTAAACAAAAGTCTAAGATTTTGGGACTTGGTAACAGATCAGCGTCACATTGGGTTTTTCTAGATGCAAAAGGGGACTCTCTTCGCATAGTTTCCCTTAGCATGTTCTCATGATTGAAAAAATCATCTCTGGCCCGGCTCGTGTGGCTCAGTGGTTGAGCGTGGACTCCTGAACCAGAAGGTCACAGTTCGATTCCCAGATAGAGGGCACGTTCATGCCCGGGTTGCAGGCTCCATCCCTCGTAGGGGGCGTGCAGGAGGCAGCCAATCAATGATTCCCTCTCATCATTGATGTTTCTCTTTCTCTCCCCCTCTCTTCCTCTCTGCAATCAGTTAAAAAATAAAATAATAAATGAATAAATATTGCAGCGGTATGATTGAAATTCACCTGTTCTAGAGACAAGGTTTTAAAACGAATCTGAACCAACCTGCTCGCATCACAGCCGGTGCTGGGACCCCCCGAACTAAAGTGGGGCGCCCTTTAGGCCAGATCAAGGCCTTGTCTTCCCTCCCTCACCTGCTCCCCCACCCAAACCCAAAGCCCAAGGAGAACAGTGAAACCGTAAAGAAACCTCTAACTTACTCTCGAGGCGGATGATATTTAGACTCACGCACTTCTACTGTCTCATGTTCCCATAATGGCCCCCAAGGAGCAGAGAAATCGCTCTCACAGTGAATCCCGCACAAACGGAGAGCGGTCCTCTCAGCCTTAACATAATGGCCGGTTCATCTGTCAGGAGGAGAACAAAACTGTTTAGAGAAGGCTCAGCTCAGCAGTGCCGCCTGGAAGCTGGGTGCCTTCCAAGGCCACTCGCCTCATGGCTGTATTTATCGCGAAGTTTTATGGAGATGAGGTGTGCTGTGTGCACTGTTGCCACGGCGCCCCTGAACTCTCAAAGCGTTCTCGTTAAGCGTGTTTTTGCATATTGGATTTTAAAAAGACTACCGCTTAAATTCTGTAGACATTTTTTTCTTAATTCGCACCCCTACGATATTATTCCATTGATTTTTAGAGAGAGTGGAAGAGAGAGGGAGAGACAAAGAGAAATATCGATGTGAGAGAGACACATCAATCGGTTGCCTCCAGCACACGCCCTGACCAGGGCCCGGGCCGGGGAGGAGCCAGCAACTGAGGTACATTCCTTTGACCGGAATCAACCCCGGGACCCTTTGGTCCGCTGGCTGATGCTCTACCCACTGAGCCAAACCAGCTAGGGCTGTAGACATTTTTTTTCTTTTTTATTTCAGAGAGGAAGGAGAGGGAGAGAGGGAGAGAAACATCAATGATGAGAGAGAATCACTGATCGGCTGCCTCCTGCACGCCCCCTACTGGGGATCGAGCCAGCAACCCGGGCATGTGCCCTTGATTAGAATCGAACCCGGGACCCTTCAGTCCACAGGCTGATGCTCTATCCACTGAGCCACACCAGCTAGGGCTGTAGACATTTTTCTTTCATGTGAATGAGTTTAGTTTGCCTTTGGTCATTTCAGCTGATATTTTATTAACTGATTGTGGGGCTTCCTTTCAGGAGAGCACGGAAGTCGATGACGAGGAGGATGAAGATGACAAGGTGAGTGTGTCCACGGAACCTCACGACAGGGAGGGGACATTCTTATTTATTTTATTTATTTTTTTTTTGGTTAATCTTCACCTGAGGATATTTTTCCATTGATTTTTAGAGAGAGAGGAAGGGACAGGGAGAGACAAAGAGAGAAACATTGACGTGAAGAGACACAGCAATTGGTTGCCTCCTGCACGCACCCCATCAGGGCCGGGGAACCTGAAACCGAGGTACGTGCCCTTGACCGGAACCAAACCCAGGACCCTTCAGTCCGAGGGCCGATACTCTATCCATTGAGCCACACCAGCCAGGGCGGGACATTCATGTTTTCAGCAGATAGCTTCCTTCCAGGTTGTGTCAGATGCTTTTATGTTTTTGTACTATGGAGTAGCCAGCAGATTAATATTCATATCATTTACAAAGGATATCCCTTTCTAAGATATATCTATTTGTTTCTTTTCATTCATTTGTAAAAAGGAGGCTGAAAAGGGGCAAAATGTAAGAAATAATTGAAATAGTAGAAAAAACATAGCTGTAGGCCCAGCCGGCGTGGCTCAGTGGTTGAGCATCGACCTAGGAACCAGGAGGTCACGGTTCGATTCCCGGTCAGGGCACACACCCGGGTTGTGGGCTGGATCCCCAGTCGGGGATGTGCAGGAGGCAGCTGATGCATGATTCTCTCTCACCATCGATGTTTCTATCTCTCTCTTCCTCTCTGAAATCAATACAAATATATTAAAAAGATAAACTAGCAGAGCGGGAGGGGGGCTGTCCTTGGCTGCGGGCGAAGGCGCGCTTCTCCGTGGCGTCTGGAAGGTCGACGGAGGGTCGCCGGGGAAGTCACAAGTAAATCAAGTGACATTGCTCCTCCTTCAGGCTCCGGCCCGCGCGCGGCGGGGTGGCCACCCACTTCAGAGCTGTCACTTCCCCAGCTGTTGCTGGCAGCGCGTGCAGCTCTCCGTCTGGGTACATCTGTCCTTTCCCTTCTCCTGGGAGAAGCTCTCAAAGCCGGTGCTTCTGTTGTCATTACGCTTTCAGACAAACCTTCTGGAATAAAATGAAAAAAAAAGGGAAATGCCAAATGCATTGCTACTAGCTTAATGGACTTCAGTCCCCAGAACCTGTGGGTATGGGATGGGGGAGGTGCTGGGAGAGACGCATGGTATAGCGTTTCGGATGCTTAAGGGGGAGGGGGAGATCTTAACAGTTAGAATCCAATATAAAATGCCCAGGAAATAGCAATGAATATAAAAACACGGGCTCCGTGACACAGAGGGCCTTCAAATGAATCAAGAGAGGCAGATGGTTTTGCCCATTTGTAGCGCATTGAGGGGATTCCAGAGTAAACCTTATTTGTGGTGTTAAAATGATCATTCGTAGCAACATAATGAAATCAAGTAGCAAAATATGTTTTTAAAGTAAATTGCCCTTTTTCAGAAACAAAGGTCACACAGATGCAACTTTCTTCTTTTTTTTTTTTAAAATATATTTTATTGATTTTTTACAGAGAGGAAGAGAGGGGGATAGAGAGTTAGAAACATCGATGAGAGAGAAACATCGATCAGCTGCCTCTTGCACACCTCCTACTGGGGATGTGCCCGCAACCAAGGTACAGAATCGAACCTGGGACCTGGGACCTTTCAGTCCACAGGCCGGCGCTCTATCCACTGAGCCAAACCGGTCAAGGCACAACTTTCTTCTTGATGAATTGATGTTGAGTGGCTTCTGGGTGATGTAGCTCCTTGAACATTAGAAGTAGAGATAGCCAAGCCAAAGTGCATGATGGGAAGGCTTCTCAAAGGAAACAGGTCTTTTTTTTTTCATTAACATGTTTTTATTGATTTTTGGAGAGAGAGGAAGGGAGAGGGATAGAGAGATGGAAACATCCATGAGAGAGAAACATTGATCAGCTGCCTCCTGCATGGCATTGAGCCCACAGCCGGGCATCTGCCCTGACCTGGAATCGAACTGTGACCTCCTGGTTCCTGGGTTGATGCTCAACCACTGAGCCACACCGGCCAGGTGGAAACACAGTTTTAAATGAAAATTTCCATTTTAATGAAATTATTTTAAACATGTACTAGGAACTAGCCTACATTTTATTAACCAGGGCTTGAAAGTGAGGAAGATTTCTTTCCCGTTGGCCAACCCTTTTTAAATGACCCACCCAGGGACGGGAAGGCAATGAGTGAGAAATCGGTGGTCAGTAAACTAGAGGCAACAACGTCAGCCCTTGGACCACAGGCCATGGGTTATCAAGGGCGAACCTTACTCTCAGGTGTCTCCAGGGCTACCTCAGGGTCTGCAGGCAGAGCCATCGGGGCTGCGCTTCTAGCCTTTCCAGGCGAGGACGACTGAGTCGGAACCACAGCATCTACAGCAGCGGTTCTCAACCTGTGGGTCGAGACCCCTTTGGGGGTCGCCTAAGACCATCGGAAAACACATAGATAATTACCTATTGTTTTTGGGATGAATCACTATGCTTTAATTATGTTCAATTGGTAACCATGAAAATACATCCTGCATATCAGATATTTACATGACGATTCATAACAGTAGCAACATGACAGTGATGAAGTAGCAACGAAAATAATTTTATGGTTGGGGGTCACCACAACATGAAGAACTGTATGAAAGGGTCGCGGCATTAGGAAGGTTGAGAACCACTGATCTCCAGGGATGAGCCGTGGAGCTATGGTGTCAGCCTGTCCCACACTGAGGGCCTTGTGCTCGTCTCCCCCCATTGCCTCCTGGGCAGTTTTGTTCTTGAGATCCTTTGAGTGTAGTATCTTCAGAGGGACTTCATTTATTTATTTTTTAAATCTTTATTCCCACCTCCCACCCCAGGCCCTTTCCACCCCACTGTCTGGGTCCACGGGTTATGCACATATGCATACAAGTTCTTTGGTTGATCTCTTCCCACCTTCCCTCCCCCGCCTTCCCTTTGAGATTCCACAGGCTGTTCATGCTTCTATGTCTCTGGATCTATTTTGTTCATCAGTTTATTTTGTTCACTAGATTCCACATCATAGGGCCTTTAATAGCCTCCGCACAGCCATGGTTGTTCTTGCTTCCTCAATTTCATATTCCTGTGAAATCTTCTAGAGGAATTCGTCTAAAATGAAAATGTAACTGTTTATGCCTCTTCTGCTTAACACAGCCAGTCTTTGGTGAGCCTGGTGAACTTTCTAGTCCTCCTCCATATCTTCTCCCTCTCACTTCTTTTTCTTAAAATATATTTTTATTGAGAGATAGAGACATCAATGATGAGAGAGAATCATGGATCGGCTGCCTCCCGCACATCCCCTGGGGATGGAGGAGCCCGCAACCCGGGCATGTGCCCTTGACCGGGAATCAAACTGTGACCTGGTTCATAGGTCGACACTCAACCACTGAGTCACGCCGGCCGGGCTCACTCTCACTACTTTAAGAGATTTGTAACTAGGGGGATTTTCAACAGTAAGGCCTCCGGAGCACGCATCATTCGCACCCATATTACAATCCATTATTTCTCCTCTATGTATGTCATCTTCCAGCGCTGAGATGTGCTCATAGAGGTGCACGCACAGGCTGTATCACAGGGCGCGCTCACGCGGCCCTTCTGGCTCCTGGTGCGTGTTACACATGACAGACCACGCTTCTGGGAACTGTAACACACCCATTGAGACAGGAACCGTTTACAAATGGTAAACACACGGTCGTTTCCTTCCACACCAGAAGAAGAGAGGGAACTCCTTTCTCTCCAAACTATCCATCTTGCAAGTGACACCCCTTAAATGCCAGCACCCCCTTCCCACCAAATACCATCGCAGACGACTGGGGAGATGAAAGCGGGCCGGCCCCCGTGGCGCGGCTCTCTGGGGAGACGGACGCTTTCCCATGTTCCCGCCTGTCTCCCGTGCACAGACCGGGCCGAGGCCTGGGCTCTGTCATCCTTTTATTGTCTCCGTCGGGGATTGTTGTAAAATGACATCACCGTAGCCTCTTGCTCCCTCCTCATTGTTAAAAGTCCATGGAAGTGACTTGTATTAGGAACCGAATTAGACTCCACAATTTTGCCTGCCCTTTCTTTTTTTTTTTCTTCTTTTTTTTGTTAATCCTCACCCGAGGATATTTTCCCATTGATTTTTAGGGAGAGCGGAAGAGATAGGGAAAGACAGAGAAAAACATCGATGTGAGAAAAACACATTGATGGGTTGCCTTCTGCATGAGCCCTGACCAGGGACCAGGGCCCGGGCCAGGGAGGAGCCTGCAACCGAGGTACTCACTCTTGATCAGAATCGAACCCGGGACCCTTCGGTCCACAGGCCCCGATGCTCTATCCAATGAGCCAAACCGGGTAGGGCTTGCCTTCCTTTCTTTTCTGGGCTTTCAGTGGTAACATAGGACTCTCAGGAAACTAGTTCTTTGGCTTTTTCGGAAACGGAATGTACCAACTAAACTTTGAAGAGAGAGACATTTTTTCTTCTTTCTTATACAGTGGGGCCTTGACTTATGAGTTTAATTCGTTCCGTGACGGAGCTCGTAACTCAAATTACTCGTATGTCAAATCAAAAAGTGAACGAGTGAGACACGTGATGCTGGGCTGATGTTGTGGCGTTCACCGTGACGTTCGCTGCGCCAACTAGCGGTGGGGTATCTGAAGCTGGCTCGTAACC